TCAGCAGGGATTTACGCTCGCTCTGTAATCGCCTCGCTAAATGCTTTACAAGTTTATTCCGTTTCCACAGTGTGGGATGAGTGCTGTCGCTGACTTGGTTTTCACTGGCGGGAAACGGAGCTGAGAAGCAGCATGGCGGGGAGTGTGCGGGCTCCTCCGACCGAAGCCCCTGAGGGCTGGGTCTTCAGACCCCTTCTCGCTGCACTCACCCCCCAGGGTCTTACCCCTTGTCCCATCCCCGCTCTGGGCCAGGCCACCACGGCCTCCCCGGGTTCCTGCAGTCGCCTCTCATTCGTCTTCCTGCTTCTGCCCTCGCTCCTCTACGGCCTGCTCCTAGCTCAGCAGCAGCCGGACACACATCACACCACTTCCCTCCTCTGGATCCCCCGAGAGGCTTCCACCTCAGAGTAAAAAACGTCCTCGTAACACACGGCCGACCCCAGGACCCCACGGCACAGCCCTGCCCTACAGTCGCTGCTCCTGCTGAGACCTGCTGCCTCCGGACCCCCATGAGCTCTCTCTCCGGAGCTTTGTGCTGCTCGTCTTCTGGCCTAGAAACTCCGCGCCGTCTCCCCACGCAGCCTCTCCCTCCTCCCTTCAGATCTCTGCTTAATGGTCGTCCTCCCCGCCCCATACACACTGCCCCGCCTCAGCTGCTGTGCTTTCTGACCCGCGGCACCTTGCTCCAGGCCCGGCCCTTTCCTGCAGACAGCCCCGGGGGCGGCCGGGCGGGGGCGCGCTCTGTCCTCTGTGTGTCTGGCCAGAGCTCAGGTGCAGAGGAGGCGCCGTAACTCTGGGGAGAATAACCGGAGCCGGGCTGCTGGGCTCCCACCCCAGCCGTCCTCCCACCGGCCATGGGCCTGCGCCCTCCCTGCCCCCTCTCGGCCTCCCTCTCCTCACTCGGGTGGTGGTAAAGGCAGGCGGTGCCCCCTGGGCAAGCCCTGTCCCTTAGTGGTCTGCGGGGGGGGGGGGGGGGCGGCTTTGTTCCCGGGGCTGGGTGAGGGGTGACACCCTGGCCTGACCCCCACGGGCCTGCAGGCCACCTTCCACTACCGGACCCTGCACAGCGGGGAGGAGGGCGCGGTGCTGGACGACAGCCGAGCGCGCGGCAAGCCCATGGAGCTCATCATCGGCAAGAAGTTCAAGCTGCCCGTGTGGGAGACCATCGTGAGCACCATGCGCGAGGGGGAGATCGCCCAGTTCCACTGCGACGTCAAGGTGCCCGCTCTCACCTCTGCCTGTGCCCGCACGTCTGTCCCCCATCCCTACTCCCCACGCAGGGCTCTCCCTGGCGAGGCCACGCCGGCTCCCGGCACCGCACCGCCAGGTGGACACAGCGTCCCAGCCTCCCCTGCCTCCCCCTCCGTGAGGCAGACGTTCTCACAGGGAAAGGACCTGCTCAGTCCCTGGCTGCCGGCCTCTCTGGTTCTGGTGCTCACTTGGCCCCGTGGGGTCTGGCCCCTGCCAGTCCTCCTTCCTCCTCCCCTCCCTCCTCTCCCCTCCCTTCCCCTCCCCTCTCCTCCCTCCCCTCCCCACCTTTCTTTCCATCCTCTTTCTGGCCAGAATCCTCCCTCCGACCCCACAGTGAATCCCGGTCACCACTCCCAGGGAGTCCTCCCCGACTGCAGGGAGTTGGCTCGAACCCCGCCTTGGGTCCCTCACCCCATCTCGCCTTGGAAGGCCAGGACGTGGTCCTCTGCCTGCGTCTCAGCTACTTCCGGGCAGGGGTAGGGCTTGTTTCCTCCAGTTTCAAAATGCCCAGCGTGGCCCTGGCCTGTGTGCCTTGGTTGGTTGGCATCGTCTAGCACACTGGTTTGATTTCCGGTCAGGGCACATGCCCGGTGTGAGGGCTTGATTCCTGGTGGGCGGCATGTAGGAGGCAGACAATCGATGTTTCTCTCTCTCCTTCCTCTCTCTCTTAAAAAAAAAAAAAAAAAAAAGCCCAGCATGGCCCAGCTCAGACCCAAGGCTCAGGAGTGCCTATTGGCTGGCTGAGACGGCAAGGCCAGTGAGGAGAGCTGGTCAGACTGGGGTGGGGTAGAATGTATATTTGCTTTGATTTCAGAGAGAGAGGGGGAGACAGAGACAGATAGAAACATCAACGATGAGAGAGAATCATCGATCCGCTGCCTTTTACACGCCCCCTGCATGCTCCCTACCAGGGATTGAACCCGCAACCCGGGCATGTGCCCTGACTGGGAATCAAAGTGACCTCCCAGTTCATAGGTCCAAGCTCAACCACTGAGCCCCTCTGGCCAGGCATTGGGGGGGGGGGTCTTATTGCCACCATCCCCCCAGCTGTTCCTAGCCAAGGGCCAAAGGCTGGGCGCCCTGTGGCTCAGGGTCCCCCGTGGGCTGTGAAGGGGCTGCCTGACTCAGAGCTGAGACAGGCCCAGAATGGGGTGGGGGAGGGCAGGAGAGAAGCGGAGGGACCCCAGTAATGGACTCCCAGGAGGAAGAGGTGAGAATATCTCTGGGCCTATGCAGACGAGGGAGACAGGTTGACGGGGTGAGTGACTGGCTGGTTCAGTGCCTGGAGCGGGTGGAAGGACCTGGGCTTCACTGGGGTGGGGTGTGTGTGCCGGAGCCCGAGGGGAAAGCCCTCCTGGGTGTTAGCAGAGGGGCTGGGCCAGCTGTGGCCCCTCCCTGGGCCCCAGTGTCCTTCCTCAGTGGTGATGGGAGGGGCTGGGCCACGCCGACAGCCCTGCCGCCCCCGTCCTGCTGCAGCACGTGGTCCTGTACCCACTGGTGGCCAAGAGTCTGCGCAACATCGCGGCCGGCAGGGACCCGCTGGAGGGCCAGCGGCACTGCTGTGGCATCGCCCAGATGCACGAGCACAGCTCCCTGGGCCACGCCGACCTGGACGCCCTGCAGCAGAACCCCCAGCCGCTCACCTTCGACATCGAGATGCTGAAGGTGAGCAGCCCAGGCTCCGAGCCTCGCAGGCCGCCGCTGCCCCGGGCCCGGGGCTCCATGGGTAGACGGGGGTAAGGCAGGCACCAGAACACCTGTGTCCCCAGGGGCTCCCTCTCGGCCCTTCCCCTCAGTCCCTGTGAGGGCAGGGCTCTCACCGTCTCAGTCACGGCCCCGTCTAGAACCTGGCACGGAGCCGGGCACCAGGAGAGGCTACGTAGGCGGTGCTGGATGGCCAGGGAGGGCAGAGCACTGTGGCCGGTGTCCATTGCTGGAGGCCGCGCAGCCGTGGCGCCCCGGGGCTCCCCTGACTCGGCCGCACTCGGCAGGTGGAGGGCCCTGGCACATACCAGCAGGACCCGTGGGCAATGACGGACGAGGAGAAGGCCAAGGCGGTGCCGGTCATCCACCAGGAGGGCAACCGGCTGTACCGCGAGGGCCACGTGAAGGAGGCCGCGGCCAAGTACTACGACGCCATCGCCTGCCTCAAGAACCTGCAGATGAAGGTCTGCCTGAGGCCGCGCGCGGGCGGGGGGAGGGGCAGCCGGGCCGGGTCTCAGGTCCCCGCCCTCTCCCTGCCCCGCGCCCAGGAACAGCCCGGGTCCCCCGACTGGATCGAGCTGGACCAGCAGATCACACCACTGCTGCTCAACTACTGTCAGTGCAAGCTGGTGGCCCAGGAGTACTACGAGGTGCTGGACCACTGCTCCTCCATCCTCAACAAGTACGATGGTGAGCGCGGCGCCGGGCGGGCGGGCGGGTCAGGCGGGCGAGGGCCGCTCCTCCCGGCACCCCGGGGCAGTGGGGGCATGGCGGCCTTAGCCATCACCCCCACTCCGCCAGCCGTCCCCCTCCAGGCAGGGCCACGTCCCTGCTGTGCCAGTGAGTGAGTGGGGCCGGGAGTGTCCCCTGATGGACCCCGCGGTGCAGAAGGCACCCTGGGCAGCTAGCTGGCCCCCCGGGCCCTGCATGCCTGCTGCCTACTGCCTCCCCCACCCCCCGCAGACAACGTGAAGGCCTACTTCAAGCGGGGCAAGGCGCACGCCGCCGTGTGGAACGCCCAGGAGGCCCAGGCTGACTTCGCCAAGGTGCTGGAGCTGGACCCCGCCCTGGCGCCCGTCGTGAGCAAGGAGCTGCGGGCCCTGGAGGCGCGGATCCGGCAGAAGGACGAGGAGGACAAGGCCCGCTTCCGGGGCATCTTCTCCCACTGACAGGCCCGCCCACCCTGCCCAGCCCGCTGCCGCCACTGCCAGCCCGCCTGCCCCCAAGCCACGCTTCTCTGTACATAAAGCCTTATTTATCTCTCCACCCGAGAGCCACTCACTGGGAGGGGAGCGTCACCCACACTGCCCGGGGGGGGGGGGGGGGGACAGAGGATCAGGGTTCTAATCCCAGCACCCGGTCCACCAGCTCCGAGCTCTCCCTGGGCTCAGTCCTGACAGATGTGGGGATGACCTCTGCCAGAGGGAGCACTTCCTGCTGCCAGAGCGGGGTGCCCGGAGCCTTCGGGCTTAAGGGGGAGACAGTTGGTGCTTGAGCGAGGTGGTCTCCCTGCCCCTCCGTCCTCTGACCCAATGGCCCCCTGGTCTCAGCTTCCGGAGGCAGACGTTTCAGAGGGAAGCCAAGTCTGGGCTGAGGGTGGTCCAGGAGGGAGGCCGGGGGCCTGACTCCAGGAAAGGCCGTGCGTGGGTGGAGGTGAAGACAGCATTTCCTGAGGCTCCGGGGTCCGGGAAGGGCCCATCTCTGACCTGCCGTATGGTTCTGGGTGCTGCCTGGCCCCTCTGCCAAGCAGCGTCTCCATCGCACTGGAAATGGTGGCATGAGACCAGCAGGCGGCAGTCGGGTGGGATGTAGGCGGTGTTTATTGTGGGTTCACACACTGAAAGCCTCGGGGTCTCGCCGCTCCCTCCCTCCCTCGCCCCTGGTCCGGGTCCTCCACAGGAAGGGAAGTGACGCTGAGGGGCAGGCAGAGACGCAGGGGTGGAGCTGGGAGGCCCGGCGGGCAGCGTTCTGGGCAGATGCCAGTGCCCGGCCGCCCACACCTGGTCCTTTGGGCCCGACTGAATAAATAACGATCCAGCCACAGTTCAGGCCTCCCCGCAGTCCAGCTTGAGGCTGATGCTCCGGCCCCTGCCGCGGCTCAGGGTGGCGGGCGGCGTGCCCGGGCCCTCGCGCTCGGCCTGGCTGGGGCCGCGGGAGCGCAGCAGCTGGCTCTGCTTGCGGAGGAAGTCGCCGGGCGCGGCCCCGCCGTAGCTGCCCTTGGCCAGGGTGGCCCTCGAGGGCCCGGCGGGCGCGTGCGGGTGGGCGCCCGCTTCCAGCTGGCCCAGGTGTGCCACGTAGCCGTCCGACAGGAACTGTGGGCAGAGGCGGGCAGGGGTGAGGGGGGGCGGCCTCAGGCCCTCACACCGCCCTCCGTCCTCCGGCTCCTGGTCCGAGCCGGCCGGGTCCAGGCCCGGCAGAGCCTGGCCTGAGTCTTCTCAGCAGACAGGGGCCTCGGGCTGGGAGTAGGCGCCTTGGCCTTCCTCCTCGCCCTACCCCTCCCTGCCTCAGTTTCCTCATCTGTGAAGGGGGCTGCTTTGTGGGGGTGAGGAACAGCAGTTCATTCTCAAGCATGTTTTTTGCCCAGCGTGTGCGTTGTGGATGTGCAGTAAGTCACATGACCTTTATGATGGCTGTCAAGGCCAGCGCCATTTTACCATTTCCGTCTTACAGCCAGGAAATCGGGGCTTAGGAAGGTCAGGGTGGATGGAGAGCACTGTGCTAATAAGTCAGAGAAAGACAAGTATCACATGATCTCACATGTGGAATCTAACAAACGGATGAATGGAGTGGATTCAGAGACACGGAAGCATGGAACTGAGCGTGAAATCTCAGAGGGAAGGCGGGAAGATGGGTGGGTGGGGGTAATCAGCCAAAGACGGTGTATGCATCATCCATGGACACAGACAATAGGGTGCTGAAGGCCGGGGGTGGGGGTGAGTAGAGGGAAAAAAAGGGACATGTAATATTCTCAACAATAAAGAATTATGTAATAAGTAAAATGACAAAAAGAAAGGCCCAGGGCCATGTAACATGGAGTCAGCACTCCAGCCTGAGCTATCAATACTGGTCTGGCCAGCAGCTCCGAGCTGCTCACGACCCCTCTCCCAGGAGGAGCCAGGCCCCCTGAGGCCAGCCACCTCCCGATAGCCGCCCCCCTCAGCCCAGATGGACCGATGACCCGCAACCCAGCCCCCAGCCCCCTCCGGCCTCACCTGGCACTGTGCTTGCAGCTTCCGCACGGGGCGGCCCACAATGTAGGTGTGGCTGGGGGGCAGGCCCAGGGCCGCGTACACGGCCACGTCTTTGGGGGATCCGTAGCCAGCCACGATGTTCAGTTCCACCTGCGGTGGGGGAGGCCAGTCAGCCACCCCGGGACAGGCATAGGCTGGGGTGGGGTCTGGTGGCTTCCTGGGTCAGAGATTAGGGAGCCAAGCTAGTTGGAGAGAGGTGGGGCCTCGAGTCCTACGTCACCGGGCACCCAGGGGAGGCAAGACTGACTGGGTCTCTCTAGCTGGCCCTAAGGATTGGGGCCCTTGGAACATGAGAGGGCGGAGGGGCCGGGCGGGGCAGCGGCGGCCCCTCCCTCCCGCACCTCCTGCACCAGGCTCTGCAGGAACACGGCCTTCTGGCGCAGCGGGTCGTGGGTGAGGCCGTCGCAGAAGGAGACGACACCGTGGGGGAAGTTGTGCTGCGACAGCCAGGCCACCACGCGGTGCTTCTGCATGTCCGGCCGGCCCGTCACGTACACGATCAGGTAGCCCGCGTCCTGCCAGTGCCTGCGGGCGGGGCAGTGAGCTCCAGGGGGGGGCGGGGGGGACAGTGAGCTTGGGGGACAGTGAACCCGGGGCGGCAGGGGGGGACAGTGAGCCCCGGGGGGGGACAGTGAGCCCCAGGGGATGGGGGGGACAGTGAGCTTAGGGGGCAGGGGGGGCGGTGAACTCTGGGGGGACAGTGAGCCCCGGGTGCCGGAGCTCGGTCTCCGGGGCGCGTCCGGGCGGCTCCTACCTGACCACGTCCACGGCGCCGGCGCGCACCTTGGGGTCGCTGCCCATGATGGAGACGCTGGCGGTGAAGGAGCCGTCGATGCTGAAGACCACGGCCTCGGTGCCACGGGCCACCACCGTCAGGCAGCACTCGGCGTGGGTGTGGTCGCCCCTGCGGCCACGGGGCGTGAGCAGGGGCCGGGCGCCGGGGCCCGCCCGCCCGGAGCTGCCCGCTCACCTGACCACCATGCGCACGGGGTACACGCCGACGCCCAGCGCCCGCTCCGGGGGCAGCGCGAAGGTGAGGCGGCCGGAGCTGTTGGTGACCTCCGTGCCGAAGTGGATCCACTTGCCGGACAGCGGCTGCGTCATGACGTACACGTCCACCTGCGGGGGGAGTGGGCGTCCGGGGCCGGTGCCAGCGGGGGAGGCAGCGGGGGCTGGGCATGGGGGCGGGGGGACCTCGGGGAGCTGAATGTGTGCGTGAGTGATTGTGTGTGTGTGTGATTGAGAGTGTGTGAGAGTGTGAGTGAGTGAGAGTGTGAGTGACAACAAGGACACAGGCAGGGCGAGAGCACCCCCTCGGTTGTGTGTGTGTGAATGAGTGTGAGTGTGTGAGTGTGAGTGAGTGACAACAGGGACACAGGCAGGGCGGGAGCACCCCCTCGGTTGTGTGTGTGTGAATGAGTGTGTGTGTGAGTGTGAGTGAGTGACAAGGACACAGGGCAGGGCCCCCTCGGGTGTGGCGGGTGTGGCGGGCGGGGGCGGGTGCAGGCCGGCGCTGACCTTCTCCCCGGTGAGCGTGACCACGTCCAGGGGCCCGTACATGAAGCGGCCGCTCAGCACCTGCGGGCGGCCCTCGCACACCACCGTGTCGCTGGCCCGGTGGTTGGAGGTGACGTTCTGCGGGGAGAGGACGTGCGCGGAGCCGGGTGGGCGCGGAGCCGGAGGGGAGGGCCGGGCAGACCGGGAGCGGGGCGGGCGGGGGGCGGGCGGGCTGGCGGGGCCGCGGGGCGCCTGTGAGCGGCCTGTGCCGGGTCAGAGGCGGAGGACAAGCTGGCTGCGTACCTGCCCAGCGGAGACCTAACCTGCAGGGGGCGGGGCTCCAGGGCCGGGGCGGGGCTCCAGAGCCTGGAGGGCGGGGCTCCATGGTCATGTGGGCGGGGCTCCGGGGTTGGGGGCGGGGCTCCGGGCCGGGGGCGGGGCTCCCGGGCAGGGGTGGGGCTCCAGGGCCGGGGCGGGGCTCCAGGGCCATGTGGGCGGTGCTCCAGGGCGGGGGCGGGGCTCTGGGGTTGGGCTCCAGGTCTGGGGCGGGGCTCCGGGGCTGGGGGCGGGGCTCCGGAGGCCGGGGGCGGGGCACCTACGCGGATCTTGACTTGCGTGCGCTTGCGCTGCCACTTCTCGCGCGGGAAGGCCGGGCTGTAGATGGACGGCTCCTCGCACTCGGCCAGCTGCGGCCGCTCCTTCTCGATCACCTGCGCGGGGCCGGCTGGTCACCTGCGCGGGGCTCCGGGCTGCCCCCCAGTAGCCCCCTCCCGCAGCCCGCAGCCCCCCACCCCCAGCCCGCAGCCCCCCAACCCGCACCCCCACAGCCCGCAGCCCTCTCCCGCAGCCCCCCAGCCCGCAGCACCCCCAGCCCGCAGCCCCCCACTCCCAGCCCGCAGCCTCCCCCCCAGCCCGCAGCCCAACCCGCACCCCCACAGCCCGCAGCCTCCCTCCCCAGCCCCCCCCCCAGCCCGCAGTCCTCCTCCCGCAGCCCACAGCCCCCCTTCACAGCCCCCCCCAGCCCGCAGCCCCCCTTTGTCTGGCTCCCGCCCCGCCCCACCCGCCACCTGGCGCAGGATGAAGGCCACCACGTCGGCGGACTCCCAGTAGCTGGCGTGGAAGAGATGGGGCAGCGTGACGGTGGGGAAGGCCGTGAGCGCCTCGGGGCAGTAGAGCGAGTAGTCAATCCGCTTGGTGCCCCACCATCGCTCCAGGACTGCATAGCCACGTGGCAGCGAGTCAGCGTGGCTCCCGCCGCCTTGCCCCTGCCTGGCCCCGGGTGCTCCCCCGCCCTGCCTCCTCCGGGCCGGGGCAGGGGCAGGGGCAGGGGCATGGCAGGCGCCAGGGCAGGGGCAGGGGCATGGCAGGCATCCGGGGCAGGGGCAGCGGGGGCTGGGAGAAGGGGCAGAGGCATGGCAGGTGCCTGGGGCAGGCGACCAGGGCAGGGGCAGGGGCAGGGGCAGGGGCATGGCAGGCGCCAGGGCAGGGGCAGCGGGGGCTGGGAGAAGGGGCGTGCGGCGGCTGACTTACTCTTCACCACCTCGCTGGTGGTGCTGGGGGCAGCCGGCTGGGCCTGGGGCTCGGTGCCTAACTCGCTGCCCTTCCAGAAGGCACCGCTGGTGGAGGTGGGCGTGGAGGGCACCAGCATGTCCAGCTCCTCCAGGAAGAGGCCCGAGTGGGTCTGCAGCGTGTCAGCTGGGGGAGGGGCGCCCTCAGCAGCGGGCGGGCTCTGGGCAGCTGGGCACCCCCACCTCAGCACCCACGCCACCCCACCTTCCCTGCCAGCCCCGGCAGGTCCGGGCGGGGGCTGAGCCGCTCCACATCTGGACGCGGCCATCCCTCCGCTCAGCTCGCCTGCAGCCTCTGCGTGCTGGCCAGGACGCCTGTCACCCCATCCCATGCCGGCCCAGAGCATACATGTACATGTGAGGACACACAAGCACTCCACACGCACAGCGGTCCCTCCCATGCCCGTGCCACTCGCACATGGGCGTACGGGGTCATCCGCCTCCTCCGGCCCCTCACCCCGCGGGCACCCTGCAGGGGCCGCAGCCCCCCCCCCCCCCGGGCTGGGGGGCCCTGAGGTGCCGGGACGCGGGAACTGCCCCGTCTCCTGGGGGCCGGCCCTCCTCCGCCCTCCTCCCGCCCCGTCATCCCGGCCGGCGCACCCAGCAGCAGGGACGTGCCGTCCCCCAGCGGGAACTTCTGGTAGCGGGGGATGACCAGCGGGGCCACGGCCTGGAACCGGGGGGCCAGCAGGGGCTCCAGGCGGCAGGCGCAGGGGTCGGCCGCGTGGAAGAGGTTGTAGATCTGCTCGCAGGCCGGGCGCATCTGGGCCACTGGGTCCGGGAGACAAAGTGGGCGTTCGCGGGCGCTCTGGGCGGCGGGGTGAGGGCGGCGGCACCCCGACACGCGGTGTGAGCCGGAGCCGGCTCCTCCCACAGGGCCCTCCCGGGGGCCACAGGGTCCGCTCAGGGGGCAGGCGGCTCAGGGAGAGGGGTCCCCGTGCTCGGTGGACCTCTCCTCGCAGAGCGTCTGTGGGCGAAGTGGCCCCAGTGCACCGTGGGAAGTGGGCCCTGGCCAGCCCCCCCTTTCTGGCCCCAGGCTCCCCCACCCCCAGCCAGGCTTGTCACCGGTGCAGTGAGGGTGGCCATACCTCCGTGTCTCCGGAGAGGAATCTGGGGGACTGGGGGCCAGAGGAGGGATGGGGCGCCCCCCCCCCCGGCTCACCCTCCAGGGCGGGCATCACGGTCTTGCGCAGCGCCAGCACCAGGCCCAGCGGGGAGCCGAAGAGGAAGAAGCCGGACACCTTGAAGTCCAGGCGGGCGGCGCTGGCGGAGCCGTCGGGGGCCTCGGAGGCGGCCGCGGGCGGGCAGGAGCCGGTGCTGGCCCGCCGGAGCTCCCCGGAGGCGGCGGCGTGTGGGGGGGCCACCTGCAGGCTGTGCGGAGGCGGCTCAGTGCGGCTGCCCTCAGCCCGCACACGGGGGGGGGGGGGGGCGGGGGGGCAGGAACATCACCTGTTCGGGGAGCCCTCGGGCTCAGGGTCGGCCGTGTCGCTGGGGGCGCGCTGGGCCAGCAGGGCCGAGGGCTCGGGGCTGCCCCGGCCCAGCCCCTCCGCCCCGTTGGCCAGGGGGTCCTTGGCCGGGCCGGTCTCCGGGGAGAGCAGCTCGTTGTTCTGGAAGGAACAGGGCCCAGAGTCCTCAGAGTGGAGACCACGTGGCTCCGGCTTGTTTGGAGTGAGGAGCAGCATGGCTGCTGGGCGGGCAGAGCCCGGAGGGGACAGGACGGCCGGGCATGGAGGGCACGGAGGTCGCGTTCCAGGGGGCAGAGCCCTGGCGATGGGGAGACCCCCCACCCCAGGAGCGGGTGCCACTGACCAGGCTCCCCCGGCGACTGCTGCCCCGGCTCCCGGCGCCCGCGCAGGCGCTGTGGCAGAGCGCGTCGAAGCCCAGGATGCCGCCCACCGCGTCTCCGATCAGCACCACCTGGAGGGGAGGGGCACGTCAGGGGGGACAGCACCACCCGGGGGGGAGGGGCACGTCAGGGGGGACAGCACCACCCGGGGGGGAGGGGGCACCGTGGGGGGGGCCTGACCGGCGATGGGGGGCCCACAGGGGTCTCCCGGGCCGCCCGCCCTGACCTGCCCGCAGAAGCCGGCGCCCTCGGCGGAGCTCAGGAAGGCGGCGTAGGCCTGGTTGGTGCGGGCGATGACGGTGGCCACGGCGCTCTGGTACCGGGAGGACGAGGTGGCCAGGAGCGGCAGGGCGGCCAGTGGGATGTGGTCCTGAGAGCGGGACAGGCTGTCGCCGTCGTGGCTGTAGGGGCTCAGGCTGGAGGGAGAGGGGTGGGTGGCGGGGGTCTGCAGCCCCTTCCCTGCCCCGCCCGTCCCCTCGGCCCGCTGGCAGGGCTGGCACCGGGGCCTGTGCGGGCAGCACCCAGAGGCCTGTGTGATGACACGGCTGACGAGACACCGAGGCCGCTCTGAGGCTGCCTGGCCGAGGTGCCTGCTTCCCGGCCTCCTCCCCTCCCCAGGGGGTCTCTCGGCCCCTGGACCCCCAGGTGGGTGCCTGTCCCCCGCCCTCCCACCCCCAGGGGGTCTCTCGGTCCCTGGACCCCCAAGTGGGTCCCTGCAGCTCAGGGACCCCGTGTCGCCGCCCTCCCGCCCCCAGGGGGTCTCTCGGCCCCTGGACCCCCAGGTGGGTCCCTGCAACTCAGGGACCCTGTGTCCCCGGCCCTCCCGCCCCCAAGGGGTCTCTCGGTCCCTGGGCCCCCAAGTGGGTCCCTGCAGCTCCGGGACCCCGTGTCCCCCGCCCTCCCGCCCCCAGGGGGTCTCTCGGCCCCTGGACCCCCAGGTGGGTCCCTGCCTCCCGGGGCCCCGGGCCCCCGCCCTCCGGCCCGGACAGTACTTGGAGACCAGGGCGTAGGCGGCGGCGCAGACGGGCGGGCAGGGCACCAGGCGCAGCGCCACGTGGCCCAGCGCCTCGGGGAAGTGGATGCGGGTGACGGCCTCGAAGGCCAGGTTCAGCGTCTGCACGTCCGCCTGCTTGGAGTTGGCGTCGCCGGGGCCGCAGTCCAGGATGCTGCCGCTGTGCAGGATGAGGAAGAGGGCGTGCACCGCGCACGCCCCGGGCCCCAGCTCCCCGGCTCCGTCCGGGCCCTGCGGGGGGGGCACCGGCGTCAGAGCGGTGGCCTGGCGGGCGGCACGGAGACACCCGGCGGCCGGTCAGTTACCTCGGAGTCTCTGGGGGCTCGGGCCCCGTCCCTCGTGTCTTTGGCAGCCTCGGTGCCGGGGTCTGTAGGACAGGGGGCGCCAGTGAGGGGGACGGAGGCTCTGGGGGGTCCCTCCATCTGACACCTCAGGGCCTCCTGCTGTTCAGCCTGCCTGAGTGGCCCGCCAGGCCCCGCCGCCCTCTGACCTTCACACCCCTCTCCCGGGTCATCTCCCATTTCCTGCCGCTCCCCCCCACCAGGGCGGCCTCCTCCCACAATGCCCGTGTGCTTGGAAAATTCCTTCTAACTCTGCCCGGTGCAAAATGGCAGCCACTATCCTCCCGCCTCCAATGGCCTGCTCCATTCTCTGTGCTGTCTGAACCCTGACACCGTCCGCCATCCCTCCTTCCGCCCTTCGCCCACGCGCTGTCCTCTATTTACTAGCTGACAGTCATCCGAGCACCTCACCGAACCCGGACTGACTTGCTTTTCGAGTCCCCACTGCACGGGGGGCGCTGGTCACCCGACTCCGGGCCTGTACCTGGCGCCCCCTCGGCCTCCGTCGGGGAGGCGAAGGCGTCGATGAAGTCATTGGAGTTCCACTTGGTCATCTCCTTGGGGAACACCTCATCGCTGTCCGAGAAGCCTTCTGGGGGGGCGGGGGCGGAGACCTCGGAGTCACGGGTGGAAGCCTTTCTCAGGAGCACGCCCCTCCCCCGGGGCCCCCATGCTGACCGTGGGCATCAAAGAACTCGTCCTCAGAGCTGTTCTCAGAGTCCCGGGCAATGTTCTGCATGCGCCACTCCGACAAGCTCTGAGGAGACACGCCCCCTGCAGGGCCCCCTGGGCGTCAGCCTGGGAACCAGCCCGCCGGTGGCTCCCTCCCCTCCCCTCCCCTCTGCCCGCGCTGAGCCTCACCTCCGTGCTGGGAGGAGTAGGAGGACCGGGAAGAGGAGGACCACTGCTTGCCGAAGCTGGCATCCGGCGAGGCGTCCGGGCCCAGGGGGGCCTCGGGCCCGTCGGGGGTGCCCGCGAGGCTGGCCCCCGCCTGGGCCTCGGTGCCCGGCTTCCCTGCGGGCTGGGCCTCGGGCCCCTCGCCGTCCACGCTGCACTTGGCCATGCGCTGAGCCAGCATGCGGGCAGTCTCCTCCTCCAGGGCCCGGATGTCGGCCATGCTCAGGTCTGTCCACTCGTCCTGCCAGCACCAGGCCTGGCGGTGGGCGCGCAGCATCACCCGGCGAAGACCTGGGGGTGCCCGGCATCAGAGCAGTGCCCTCCCTGGCCACAGCATCCACACACTCAGCCTCCAGGGTCGGGCAATGGCTCCCCTGGGCACGTGGCCTCCCCAGAGCCACAGAGGAGGGCGGGCGAGTGCTGTCCAGGGGAGGGGATGGAAACCGGGACACGTGCCTTCCTGCCCCACTTCCCCCCTTGCCCACCACCTCTTCTGGCCTTCCGGGCACCCCAACTCGGAGCCCTGGCCGCACCCCCACACCGCCGGAAGCTGGAACCAGTGCTGGTTCCCCCCTTTCCTCTGGCTTCCCGCTGCCTCCTTCAAAGGAGCTAACGATGAGGCGTTAGCGGCTAATGAACTCGGGGATGGCTGGTGCGAGGAAGGCTTCAGGGGAAGGTGGTACCCGATCGGGGATGTGTGCCTCTCAGGCAGGGAATGAAGTTTAAAACCTCACTGTCTAGGAAACACAGCACTAATGGCTGAGTTATCATGATCCACTTCCGGAAGGAAACATATCCGAGTCTTAACAGCGGTGCTAGGTGGGTGATTTTATGTTCTTATTTGTGCCTTTGGTGTTTTTCCAAACGTGAGACAAGGAGCCTGTGTTCCTTTCTGAGCTAAATGATGCCCTCGCCTGTGAGACGGGAGCACAGCCCTCACCCTCACCGTGAGGAGTGCTGTGTGACCAACATCCGCTTTTCACTCCCGGCCCGACCTCCCCTGCTTACAGGAGGGGAAGTGCAGGTGCAGAGATGGGAGGGGCTCGGTGGGGGTTCCCTGACAGTCTGTCTGTGAACCCAGGCCCTGGACACCCCATCCAGGCCAGGCTGGCCCCCCTCAGACCTGGGAGCGGGAGGCGGGGTGGGAGTGAGCTGCAGGGGCTGTGGGGTTGGGCGTGGGGTGGTGTGAACAGGGGCTGCTGATGTCACGGCCAGAGGATGGGTCTCTGGGAGCTGGGGCGGGAGGGACCCTGGGATGACACCAGAGCCATGGTCTGGGCCTGCACTTAGCATGCTGCTGGCTGGGGTTGGGGACCCTCCTGAAGGTCCCTGAGCCTCACGGAACGCCCAGAACGGTTTAGGATCTTTGACCTCGAGACCGTGTCGCCAGCTCCTTGCCCTCCTGACTCTGACGGTGCCTCCAGGCTGTTCCTGCCCCGGCCCCCGCAGACTGAGCGGCTCCCTCCGCCTCGGCCCTCGCCACATCTGCGTCCCAGGCGGCCTGAGAGCGTGCCGCGCGGGCCCTGGGCGTGCGCCGGGCCGGGGGGGGGGGGGGGGGGGACGACGACGACTCCGGTGCCCGGCTGTGCTCACCGACATCGTGGATGAACTGCTCGATCTTGGCCTGCATGCCCCAGTACCGGAACTCCACCTTGCACAGCTTGTAGGCGCACATGAGGGGCCCCGTCTGCGCCGCCTTCTGGGCCCAGTCATCGGCCAGCGGCCCTCGGCCCGTCTTCATGGAGCGGTACAGCCGAGGGTCCTCCTCCGCCTTGTACTCCCCCGGGGCCACGGGGTCCCGCACGATGTCAATGGTGTCTGCGGGGTGCCAGGGCCCTGAGCGCCGCTGCCCGGCCGGCCCCCGCCGCCCCCGCGGCCCCCGCGGCCCCCGCCGGCCCCTCCGCCTCGGACCGGGAGGGCACCCTTTGGGAAACAGGCAGCCACGGCCGAGGGAATTGTCGGGAGCTGCCCATCGAGGCGTCAGGCAGCCCGAGAGGGTCCCCAGGGTCCCCCCGCCAGCCCCGGGCCTCACCCAGGATGCGCTGCCTCCGCTCGGCCCCGCTCAGGTTGAAGACATTGGGCTGCTGGCCGCCATCGGGCAGGTAGTAGGTCTCGATCTCGATGGAGAACTTCTCCACGAAGGGGCAGGTGTACCTGGCAGAGTGAGGGGCAGGGTCACCGCCGTGCCCGCGGGGCCACTCCCCTCGGGGCCCGGGCCCGGCCCCCCGCTCACCGGGTCCGGGTGTAGGGGTACGCGTTCCAGGACTCCTCCTCCACCTGCAGGGCGGCCTTGGGCAGCAGCGCCCGGAACCAGCCTGGGATGTGGGAGCCCACGTGGTACACCTTGTGCGTGTACTGCCCGCTGCCGCCGGGCCCGTCCGTGTAGGGCCTGTTGGCCAGGATCTCCACGCCACTGCCCTCGCCGCTGGACTCCTCCCGGCTCTTCTTCTGTGGTCCGGGCAGAGCGGGGCGCTCAGCTCCGGCTCTGCGCCTGGGACCCCCGCTCTCCCGGGGGCCCCGGGTGCTGGCCTCGCCCTGGGACCCTCCCCAGCCTCACTGCTCCTGGTCAGGGACACAGCTGGGTCTCCCCTGGGTCTGCACGCCCGCACTCAGGCACTTAGTCAGTCTCACTGAGTGTCTGCTCTCGCCCGGGCTTTGCTCAGGGTTATGGTAACTGGAGTGTGCGGAACAGAATCAAGCCCCCTGCCCTCCCGGAGCTTATCTCAGGAGGCAGACAGACACAGGGAAAAAGCAAACTATGGTACGTGGGACACAAAGCCGGCAAGCTATATGGTACGGGCGGCCAGCGGCGGGAGAGGAGAGCTGAGATTAGGGTGAGGGGACTGAGCTAGGGGTTGCTATGCCCATAGATGGGCAGGAGGGCCCAGGGAGACAGCTGAACGTGGTTCAGGGTGGGAGACGCTGGTGGGTGTGGGGGAGGAAGTGCTGGGCAGAGGGGCCCGGGCGAGCTCCTGGGCGGGAGCTCAGTGCACGGGTTCAGGGCAGCCAAGGCCGCGGTGGGTGGGCTGCAGAACTGAGGGAGTAAAAGGGGCCCTGCCACCCTGAGGACCTGCGTCTGGACCCTCCCTCTGTGGACCCCTCCACCAGCTCCTGCCACACCCGCGGAGTGGGCGAGCACTCAGATCCCACCCTTTTATAGCGCTGGAGCCCAAACTTGGCCCACTCCACCCGAGGCTGGCTGCTGGCCCCTTGCCCTGAGGACTGATCCTAAACCTCGGGACACATCAGGGACAGGCCTCCCCGAGGGCCCGGCCTGGCCCAGCCCTCTCCCCTCCCCGAGAGCCAGCCCGGCCCATTTTTCTCACAGCCCAAGGCCTGGCCTCTGCTCCTGCCTCTCAGCCCGAGCTTCCTCGCTGACCCTCGCCTGGCCCTGCATTTCACAGTTTTGGAGCCTCATCCCATCCCGTCCTCATCCCACCTCCCTGCCCGGGCTCGCCGGGATCCTGCGAACGCTGGGACCCCTCCCACCCCTGCCTCTCACTCTGGCCCCCTGCACTCCCTGTCCCGGGGATGACAGCCGGGATGACAGCCGCTGAGCTCAGGAGGATTAGAGGATCATCCACAGGCCGGCACTTGGGGGATGGGAGCCGCGCTAGGCCCTTCTGCCTCTTCCCCCGCAGCCCTCACGGTCTCCCCTGCCTCTGCGGGGCCCTCTCCCTCCTCCGCCGCCTCAGCCGTTCAAGGCCAGAGCGGGGCTGGGGGCTGAGCCCGCCCCGGCCCGGCGCGGCCTGCACCCTGCCCGGCCCCGGCCCGCCGCCCCGCGCTCACCTGGATCATGTAGAGCTGGGCCACCTGGTACTCGTCCAGGCTCATGGGCAGCAGGATGTGGTACTCCTTGATGAGCATCCTGAGGCTCCGGGCCGCGGCCCGCTCCGCCTGGCAGGCACCGGGCACAGGGCGCGGGCACGGCCGTCAGCGCGGGGCGGCGGCGCGCGGTCCCCAGCCCGGCGCGCGGCCCGGGGGGTGCGGGGCGCGGGACCCCATGCCCGGCGGCGGCGGCGGAGCAGCAGGAGCCGCAGGGGGAGCCGCGGGGGGAGCGGGAGCCGCAGGGGGAGCCGGAGCCGGAGCCGCGGCGGACTGGGGCTGAGGCTGAGGCTGAGGCTGAGGCTGCGCTGACCTCCTTTCGGCGCGGCCCCCGCCCCCCAGCCCGTCACCATGGCAACCGCGGGCTGACGGCGCCCCCCGAGCCGCGCGGAGCGGCCCCCTCGCCTCCCCCGCGTCCTAAGCCCCTCGGATCAGCATCCCTGGGGGACCCGCCCCTGGAGCCCCCGGCCCTCCCCCGGGCCTGCCCTCCCCCCGGGCCCGCCCTCCCACACCCTCTCCTGGGGCCACTTAGAACCCTGTCCCCGGGGGTATCTCCACGGAGCAGCCCCGGGCGCCCCTCCTCTTAGCATCTGTCAAGGCTCCCCGCACCCGCACCCACTCCGCGCACCCACTCCCCGCACCCGCACCCACTCCGCGCACCCACTCCCCCCACCCGCACCCACTCCCCGCACCCGCACCCACTCCCCGCACCCGCACCCGGACCTCCTTCAGGACCAGATAACCAGCCGCCCCGCCCCCAGCCCTGCCTCCCCGGCGAGGCCGGCACCCAGCCTGCACTTCCCTCCGCATCCCGCCCGCCGGTCCCTCCGGCTGCGGCTCCGCTCGGTGTCCCGGGCTCCGGTCCCAGGACCCGCCCCGCGCCCCGCGCCCGGCCGCTGCCCGGAGCCCCGCCCGGCACCGGAGCCCCCGCCGGCGGCCACGGTCCCTCCCGGCCCCCGGCCCCGCGCCCCGGCTCCCCGCGCCCGCTCACCTCTGGGGGCGGCGCCTCACCGGGCGCGGGCGAGCGGGCTCCGGGTCTGAGCCCCCAGCGCCCCCGGCCCCGGGCGCGGGCTCCAGCGGCGGCCGGACCCCCGGGAGGCGCAGCGCCGGCCCATGGCCCGACCTTTCTCCCCGTCCGCCCTCCGGCCGTTCCTCCCGCCGGTTCCTCCCGCCGCCGCGTCACCGCGGCCGCCCCGCCCCCTTCCTGCCGGCTCCCCACCGGCCCGGCCCCGCCCGGCCAGGCCGCCCCTTCCTTCCTCCTCCCCGCGGCGGCGAGGGAGGCGGTCCTCCGAACCGGGGTCTGTGCTCCCTCTGTGCTTGTTGGAACCCCAAACACGCTGTGCCCTCCCCACGCGCGCCCAGCCCCCCGGTCAGGGCAGAGCTGGGAGTGCGCCAGGGTCCCCCCTCCCCACCCGCACGGGAGACCGGGGGTGCATCACCTCTCCCCAGGCCGGCCTGCAGGGTCTCCGGCGGCCTCTGCTTAGGGCGTGCGAGTCCAGTGCCCCAGGTCTTAGGGTCACTCAGCCACACACCCAGGCAGGGGCCTCTAGCCCCCAGTGTGGCCCCATCTATACCTTCCGGGTCCACAGTCTGGCTAACCAGCCACCAGCCTCTGGGCAAAGGCTGAGACACGTGGGTGGGGCTTGTGAACCACACCCAGTGCCTGCAGGCCCAGGACAGTGCACGGCAGCACCGTGTCCAGCAGCCCCTGCCCGCGGCTCCCCAGGTGCGGGAGGCAGCAGCGCTCCCACTCGGTGGAGTCACAGACGGAGTATTCGGAGCCTCTGCAGCTGATTCAGCTCAGGCTGTTAGGCATTTAGGCACGAAGGCGTGGCTTAGGGAACTGGCATTTCCACCTTGCCAGGCTTCACTGCTAATCCAGAGGTAGAACCCTCTAGGCCAGGCTGGTGACACTGCCCTCCAGCTGTGGGAGAGGCAAGGCCCTGCACTGCCCCCTGGTGGCACCTTGCGAAGCAAGGCGAGGCGCTCAGCCACAGGAGCTCAGCTCTCCGCTACTCAAAGCTGGGAAGGCTGAGGCAGGCAGACAGGAACAGGGTCCCTCCCAAGGCTAGTGGACAGCACGGGCTGGGCAGGCCAGGCCGCGCCGGCCTCTCTCCCACCCACTGCTCCACTCGGGGTCTTCTCTGCCCCGTTTCTTCCCAGCCACCAGGCTCAGCAGAAGTACCAAACTCAGGAAGGCCAAAGAGCTGAGAGAACAACTCCAAATTATCTTTTATTTATAGAAAAAAGGACATGTTTAGCAAAAGACACACTGAGAAAAGAGGCTATGGCCCAGGAGACAAGGCAGGGAGGTGGCGGGCCTTCGGAAGCCCTGCTGGGAGGAGGGTCTGGGACAAAGGGGTGAGCAGTCCTGGGTTAAGTGCTGAGTCGTGGGGGCTACAGGAGGAAGAAAGCTCCAGTTGGATCAGCGCTGACGGCAGCTCAGGAGTGGGACTCACAGTGAGCTCGCTGCTAAGTATCCCAGGGGTTCCGCGTTAGTGCTGCCAGCGAGGGAGGGCCACCCCTGGTCCCCGGACAGTACCCACCAGGGGACACAGGACAGCAAGTGCAACTCGGGTGGAGGCCAGGGAGAAGCAGGTGCCCTGCAGTGGCCGGGAAAGGTCCAGACTCGGAGGCGGAGGTGCTTCCTGTTACGTGCGGGCGTTCCGCTCTGTCTCCGCCAGGCACTCTCTGACTAGGGCCCGGGCATGGATGATGCCTGGGGTGGGGGTGGGAGTGGGGATGGGGAGGTAACATACAGGTCTCAGCGACCCTCCAGTCCCCCCCACACACTCCCCCCCCCCCCCAGAAGACCGGCCCTCCCCACCCGCTTTCCTTCCAGCGAGAGGGACCGGCATCTAAGGAAGGGCCAGATCCTCACATTTATCCCGTTGAAATACCAATTCCCTGGTCCTGCCCTGGAAACCAACTCACTTGCAATTCCGCTCAATACACCTAGGGGGAGCGATCCTGGCCCTCGCCTAGGCTGGCTCAGGGGGCCTCCGGAGGGCCTTCCTTCCGGGCTGGGGCCTGGCCTCACTCACCTCTCTTCAGGCGCTCCATGGCGCTCTTGCTGCCGGCATAGGTGGGCCGGATCTCCTTGCCCATCTCCTCTATGACCGACAGCAAGTCCGTGTAGGTGCTCTGCGAGCCCTGGGCGCCGGGGGGCTTCATCGCCTGTGTCAAGAGAGAACCGGGCGGTGAGCGCCGGCCGCGGGGCGGACTGCCGGCTACGGGCGGTCTCTCCGCCCCACTCACCTGCACGTAGCCCATGGAGGGCGGCCCGAAGTCGTTAAACAGCGGTCGGAAAGGGGCCGCAGCTCCCGGCACCGAGCCCGACGGCGAGGGGACGCTTCCGGCTGGAACAGGTGCGAGTGGAGGGGGTCAGCGCGGGCCGGGGACATCTCTGCCCAGCGTTCCACGCCCCCGGCCGGACTCCCCCGGTTCCTTGCAAAGGGATGCTTCGTTCCAGGAGGCTCGGCTTCGGGGACACACCCCTCTCCCTGCTCCCCCCCCCCCGCCCCAGACCCTCCCGCGGCCACGCCCACTCCACAGGCACACAAACTGAGCTGCGGGAGGGCAGGTGACAGGCCCGGAGCCGCTGCGCTCAGGGCCGCCTTCTTCTCGAGACCTCGTCCGCCCGGGCAGGCGAACAAGGATGGAGCTGGGTCCTCACCTGTCGGGACCGGGGTGCCGGGCCCGGGGGTGCTGGAGCCCGGGGTGTTGCTGGGGGCGGGGGCGATGGGCTTGTAGGACATCCCCAACTCTCGGGTGCGGCGGACGTCGCCGGCCGCTCCTCCGGGGTTGGCTGCCGGGCCGCTCCGCCGCGCTCTGATTGGCAGGCGGGCCTCACGCCCCTAGTAAATAGAGCCCTGGCCGGAAGGGCGGACAGGCTCAGCCGCTCTCTCACTCCCGATTGGCGCGCGGAGCTGTCACTCGGACCTCCTCATTGGTCGAGGCCGGCCCCGCTAGGCCGCAACCGCCGCTGATTGGCCGCTGCCTCCCGGACCTCGCACCTGTCTGCTCCGGATTGGGCGGTGTCCGCCGCCCTCCGCAATTGGAGAGTTCGCGGCTCCGGCCCGCGCGCTCTCAAACCGATTAGTCCCCAGGCTCGGGAGGCGGGGCCTCGGAGCCGGGACCGGTCCAGCCGCCGGCGGTTCCCCGGGGAGGGTCTGCCCAGGTGCGGCGCGGCCCCCGCACCTCGCTGGCTCGCTGGCTCCGCGCGTCAGCTCCCGCCGCCCGGCCGCGGCCTAGCGGGGGCGGCTGTGGTCCGCGTCCATGTGGCTGCTGTGACCGCCGCCGGGGAGCGCGCCTCTCCGCCGCCCGGGCCGCCGAGGACGCTGGGCTTTGACGTGCCGAGCCCTGCGTCTCACCCCGTGCGCTTTGACGTCACCTTTCGCCGGTTCAACAACCTGCTCCCCGTCTGCGCACGCGCCCTCCCGAGGCATTCGTTTGTTCCCATGGAAACGGGTCCCTCACCAACGCCACCGGCGCACCCGTCCCTCCCATCGCCTCGTCCTCCGGTCTAGGCGAGTGCTGGGTCCGAGGGCGCCCACAGAGAACCTGCAGCCGGCTCCCCCGGGCCCCCACGTCCCGGCCACATCAGGACAACAGCAGGAAGAGCTGGCCTTTGTTCGTGCAGGCCCCGCGGCCAAGAAGAGGAGGGACTGGAGTCAGGATGACAGAAGCACATCACCCTCACTGGCCATATTCTCTGGGGCTTACCTCCATCGGCCTCAGGTTCCCCGTCTATAAAAATGGAGACGCTGCCGAAACCGGTTTGGCTCAGTGGATAGAGCGTCGGCCTGTGGACTGAAAGGTCCCGGGTTCGATTCCGGTCAAGGGCATGCACCTTGGTTGCGGGCCATCCCCAGTGGGTTAACTGATCGATGTTTCTATCTCTCTCCCTTCCACTCTGTAAAAAAAAAAAAAAAAAATCAAAAAATATATATTTTTTTAAATGGAGACTCCAGTCACTATCTCACGGGTTGTCGTGTGGATTAAATGGTTATTTTTAAAGTGTTTATTGTTTTCTCTTTGCTGCCCCACTCCAGTGCCTCCAGATCTTTCCATTTTCCCACCCAGAACCTTTCCCTCAAATCTCATTCCTCGATACCCCAGATCTTACCCTCTCTCCACACCCTTCCTCCCAGGCTACTTCTCCCAAAAACCCGTAGTCCCTGTGTGCCCTCCGTGCCTCCGAGTCGTTTTCCTCATTCCCAGGACATTCATCCACTCTTCCAACAAACATTTCTTTTCTTTAAAAAAAAAATTATTTGTCAATGGTTAACGCACAATCGATACTATTTTTCTTTTTTTTTCTTCTTTTTTTAAATATCTTAATTTCAGAGAGAGAGGGAGAGGGAAAGAGAGAAACATCAATGATGAGAGAGATTTATTTAAACATCAGTGAATAGAGCATCGACCTGCGGACTCAAGGGATCCAGGTTCGATTCCGGGTTGTACCTTGGTTGCAGGCACATCCCCAGTAGGGGGTGTGCAGAAGGCAGCTGATTGATGTTTCTCTCTCATTGATGCTTCTAACTCTCTCTCCCTCTCCCTTCCTCTCTGCAAAAAAAAATCCATAAAATATATTTTTAAAAATAAAATAAAAAGCAAAGTCCGAGGAAGCATCAGCCAACATGGGGTCTAAGGTCACGTGGCCCTGGATGCTGTGGAACAGAAGGGCCCCCCGGAAACAGATGGAGGAAACACGCATGAACTGCGGACCACGGTCAGCAGTAATGTATCAGTAATGTGACACATGTGCCGTCCTGGCGTACAATGTTAATAATAGTGTGATGGCTAATTTATGTGTCAGCTCGACAGGATCCTGGGGTCCCCAGACCTGAGGCCACCGTGATGCCGGGGAGCGTGAGAGGGTGTAGCTGGGAGGGATGAGTCTGCTGACAGCGAGCTCCGTTAGCCGGGTCGCCCTCCCCATGCGGTGGGCCTCATCAATCCGCGGAGGATCTAATAGAACGAAAAGGCTGAGCGAGGGAACGGCACCCGCCTGCCCGCCGGGCTGGGGCGTCAGGGCTCTCCGGGCCTCAGACCAGACCCATGCCGTCGCCTTCCCTGGGTCTCAGGCCTGGCCTTGGGCGGGAGCCGCAGCACCGGCTCTCCTGGGCCTCCAGCGTGCCGCCTGCAGGTTTGGGAACCGCTCAGCCCCATCATAGCCCGAGCCAATTGCCTATGATAAGTATCTGTTACACACACACACACACACACACACACACACACACGCATCTCCCGTTGGTTCTGTGTCTCTGGAGGAGCTGGCCTACCACGCAGAAGCTGGGTCTGGGGCCTATGGGAACTCACTGGCTGTCTCCGGAATAATTCTGTAATCTGAGACCTGCTCGAAAATGAGCTCTGATAGAAGGGTGGCTACCTGGGTGCAGATAGTCACTGCGCTGTGCCCAGGTTCATACGCCTCCCTGAAAGCGTGTGATACGCACACTTTATTTAAATAGGCTTGAATAAATCGTGAGACCTTCGGGGCCCGCAGCCCTGAGGCGAGAGGGCATGTGTGAGAAGTGGTGGGGCCCGCATATCCGCTGCAGATACTCCATCCCAGCCACTCCCTCAGCCCACACCACAGAGCCCCAGGCGGGGCCACAGGCGGTGGGAGGCTCAGGCTGTGGGGGTTCCAGTCTCCCCCTGGCATGCACACTCCAGCCCCTGCGAAGAGGATAGACACCCCAGGAAGCAATGCCGGGGCGCCCACTGGTGGAGGATGAGGGGAGGAGGATGGGGAGCCGTGGGCCCTGGGCAAGTGCTCCTCCCTGGCCGCCAGCCTGGCCGGCAGGAGAGATGCCTAATGGGGATTAGGATTAATTGGGATCTTCCAGGACAGTGATGCTGAGCTGCTGCAGCCAGCCTGGCACCTCGGCGCAGGCTGTGGGAGGGAGGGCGCGGGGGCTGCCCGCCTGCTCCATGGTCCCGGGGCCGTCGCGCTGGCCGCAAGGATGATGAGGAACAGGTGCGGGGCTGACGGTCAGGTCCGTCTTCCTCCCGGTCAGCCGAGCGCGGCAGACCCGGCCTGTGCTGTAGCCGGAGGAGGCTGAGGCCTGTCCGGGGACCCCCTGGCCCTCAGGCGTCCTCTCGCTGGCGCTGGGATGTGAGTCTCCAGGCCTGAGTGCAAGCCCCACCTCCCCTCCATTCTGCTCGAACTGGACGACGCTGGTCCCTTGTCCTCTCGGAGCCTTCCGGCGGCAGGCAGGGGCGGGTGCATCTGAGGGCCCTGGGGGGCCATGGCCAGCCCCTGAACAGGAGCGCCGCCAAAGGCAGGAGATATTTCAGGAAGAGCGACCCGGCAGGCAGCAGGCACTGCGTGGCCCGGGGAGAGAGGTCAGCCCGGCCTCTCGGCCTCCTCCGTCTGGGAACTGGGGCGTGAGGCCGCGGGGAGGATGGGGTGGGGGGCAGGGGTGTCATCCGGGTCCCCAGGAGGCAGGTAGCGAGATGGCGTTAGAAATGCAAGGCGGAGAAAGCAAGATTGCCGGAGGGAGGGCCTCGGCTGAGACCAGCCCGCCAGCACCAGCGGAGGCCAGGGCCGGGAGGCAGAGCCGCGGAGAGGAACCTCGGGCCGGGCAGGAACGTGGGTGTCGGGCGTCTGCCACGCTGGGCCGGGGGCCGGGCTCCGCGGAGAGCGAGGAAAGGGCCCGGCAGCCGCAGCCGGCTGGGAGGGAAAGCTGGACGAGCTCCAGGCCCTCGGGAAGGCCCCAGCGGCCCCCTCCCGGAGGGAACGGCCGGGTCCTGGGAAAAGCCCTCCCGCGCCTGCTCCACCCTCCGGCAGCACAGCGGCCTTTCCCACAGCTCCTCAGTGTGACCCCCGCCGTGCAATTACTCTCCTTGCTACTTCAGAGCTGTCACGTTGCTACTGTTAATGAATTGTCAGGTAAATACCCTGTTCCCCGATGGTCTTAGGCGACCCACAGGTTAGAACCGCTACTGTTGAGACCGCTGGAAAAAACAGATATTTTACATGGCGATGCATTAACAGTAGCAACATGACAGCTATGAAGTAGCAACGAAAGTGATTTCACGGTTGGAGGTCACCTGGCCCCGAGGAGCTGTGCGAAAGGGTCGCAGCGTTAGGAAGTGTGAGAACCACTGACCCAAGCAACCCGGGTGTGGCCGGGCCAGTCACGGGGTGAGGGGCCCCCACTCCCCGCTCTGGGAGAACAGGCTGGGTTTACTGGGTCAGGGGCCTTTCCGGACACTTGCTGTGGGCCGGGCCCAGGATCCACAGAGGGCCCCTGCTCCCCCGGAGCTCACAATCCAGGGGCTCGTGACCCAGCACTGAGTCTGGGGGCCAAACCCTGGGTCCCCCGGGGTGAGGGCGTGAGGGGGAAAGCCAGCTCCCAGGTCTGAAGGTCCTTTATTGTCGGGGATACAGAGGGGGGCCTGGTGGAGGGGCGGGTGGGTGAGGGCAGGCAGGGCGCTGCACACGGGAGGGGAGGGGGGAGGCAGAGGGTCCCAGCTGGAGGCGACGGGCTCCAGGAACACACTGTGGGCGGTGGCTGTGGCCGCACGTCCGCTCCGCTGCCTCCGGCGGCCGTGCAGGCTCAGCGAGACATCATCCGCACAAACTCTGCGGGACAAAGCCACGGTGTGGGGTCCGCGAGGGGCGGCCGATACGCTGGCTGTGAGGCGCGAGGGCGTGGGGTCACGTGAGCGTCCGGGATCTGACAGGTAACAGGTCTGTCTCCAGGCCAAGAAGAGGGGCTTTGTCTTGTGGACTTTGTGACTCAACTATGTTCTCTCTGCTTTGGCTGCGAGGAAGCTCGGGAGTGACCTCCCGGGACGACGGGGTCCTCGTGCTCCCTCTGGGGGGCGCAGTGGAGGAGGAGCGGGGTCTGGAAGGGGCTGCCTGGGCCAGATGGCGGCTGCGGCTGCCTCCCTAAGGCCTGACCCACTGGCTCTCTCCTCCTCCCTGCGCTGGGGCCATGTACAGGAGGATTCGGGCGCTCCGCCTGGGCCTGGCGCAGCCGAAGCCCGGCCCCGTCGCTCTGCCAGAGCCCCGGGGCGTGGCGGACGGTACCTTCGAAGTCGATCAGGCCGTCCCCGTTGAGGTCCATGTCCTGCAGGATCTCGTCCGCCTCCCGCTGCGTGAGGCGCTCCCCCAGCAGGACCCTGAGGGCCGCCCGCAGCTCCGCCAGGCTGATGCAGCCGTCCCTGTTGGTGTCAAACTGCGCGGCGGGCCACGGCGTGGGTCACCGAGGGACCGCCATCGCTCAGCCCCTCACTCACGGCACGCGCGTGCATGCACAAATAAGCACACACGCACACACATGCACATATACACACGCGCACGCACACATGCATGCACACACACATGCACGCACACATAGACACACGCGCACGCACACATGCATGCACACACACATATGCACGCACACACGCATGCACACAAGCATGCACACATGCGAGCGCGCGCACCCGCACAAATACGCACACATGCACACGCACACACATATACACACATACACGCGTGCGTGCACACACAAAAATACGTGCACACACACGCACACGCAGGCCCTGCCCGCCCTGAGCCCAGACCACACCTCTCGGAAGGCGTCCCGCAGCTCCCGGACGCCGATCATGTCCGCGGTCTCCGCCAGCAGCTTGGGGCCCATCAGCTCCACAAAGTCTTCAAAGTCCACCTTCCCGCCACCTGGGGGCCGTGCTCATCAGAGATCCCGGCCCAGCCCTCCTCTGCCCGCTGCCCGCTGCCCGCTGCCCGCTGCCCGCTGCCCGCCCCTCCTGGCCTGGGCCCACTAACCGGCCCTTCTCCCCGGGGCCCCACAGGCTGGGCCATCTGTGATTTTTGATGACTTTCCTTAATTCTCCTGCAGAGTTTGGTTGAGGTCAAGCCCTGGCTCCAATGACCTGGCTGTGACCTTAACCTTTAACCTTTCAGAGACTCAGTTTCCTCATCTAAAGTATGGGAAGAGTGGCCCTCGCCCTGCCCCCTCATAGGGATGGTGGGATTCCTGGAGGCAGAGGCCTGGCCTTGAGGACGGCCGAGGTCTGGGCGTGGGGCCAGCCAGCAGGCACCGCCACGCCTGGCCCGCCCCGCCCCGGCCCGGCCTCTGGAGAAGCGGGGATGGGGGGGGGGGTCTGAGGCACGTACTGATCTGCTGGGAGATCTCGATGAGCTCCATCTCCGTGGGCATGTAGCCCAGCGTCCGCATGCAGGCGCCCAGCTCCCGGTGGCCGATGTAGCCGTCCCGGTCCCGGTCGAACTCCTGGAAGGCGGCCTGCAGCTCTGCCAGGTGGGGCAGGGTCAGTCCTTCTCCAGGGCCCCTGGGTCCCAGCTCGGATCAACTCCCCTTCCCTCCTCGGGCTGAGCATCCCCTTCTTCTAAACATCCCTTCATCTTGGCTGCCTCAGGGCCTTTGCACATGCTGCCCCATAATTAATTCTTTCGGCAAATATTTAGGAGCATCTGCTATGTGCCAAGCTCTGCTCTAGGTAGCGGGAATATGACAGGGAAGAAAGAAAAAGGAAGGAAAGGGACAAGGGACACAGGGCTGAAAATCGGGACTGTCCTGCGAAAAGCGGGACGTCTGGTGGCCTTACCCAAGCCCCACCTGGCACGCGAGAGCAGGCAGCTGACCACTGGGGTTTGGGGACTCATCCCTGCTCAGTCTGTCCCCAGGCCCCTCGCATAGCTCCCCTGCAGCCTCCTTCCGGCTCCCAGTTCCTCCTGGGGACTGCTGAGCCTCCCCACCCTCCTCCCCCCCCCCCCCGTGTGCACCCCACATCCACCCTCCAGAGACCGTAGTTCTTCCCAAACCCTTTACCTTCGATCTCCTCCGGCCGCAGCTCCCGGTCCTGGGGGCACAGAGGGGTTAGAACTCCCCGGACCCCTTGCTTCTGGTTCTCTGGGCCTCTCCGATCAGCCCCCTCAGCGCCCAGGCCTGTGTCTGACCTGCTCAGGCCTGGCTCCTCCCCCACCCCTGCTGACGGACGGCCCTGGGGGCTTGGGGTCCCCTCCTCGGACCCTGCCAGGCATCTCCCCGGGCCTTCCCACCCCCCGCCACCCTCTTCCGGGGCACGGAGCCCCCTGGCCAGAGGGGGGTCTGGTTTGGGCGGATCCCAAGCTGGGGGGCCTCCATGGCACCATCGGTCTCCGAGGGACCTGCCCCCTCCCGGCACAACCCCGGGCGGCTGCCTCTGACGTTCCACTGGGTGTCTCTCTGCCCCCTCACCCCCCAATCTGGGTGCCTCTGCTCCGACCTCCCCCTCAGTCCTCTCCACCCTCAGGGAGAGGTTGGCGGGGGACAGGGCGGTGGGCAGGCGGGCGGTGGGGAGACGGACGGGTGGACGGGCTGGTGGATGGACGGACGGGTGGGCAGGCGGGCAGGCGGGCGGGCAGGCAGACGGTGGGGCGGGCGGCGGGCTCGTACATACTAGCTGGGTGGCCGCGATGCTGGGCCGCAGGAAGATGCAGGCGGGCCCCACCAGGCTGCTGAGCACCGAGTAGCCCTGGACGCCCTGTCGGGGGCTCCCCGGCTCCTTGGGGCCGTGGGGGGAGCCCCCAGGGCAGAAGCCGGGCCACAGCCAACTGCCCTGCAGCAGAGCCGGCTGTGAGCTGGGGCAGCGGCTTCTCGGCACCCTGCCCACCGGCCCCTCCTGCCGTGGGCACCTGGCCCAGGAGAGAGGGGCCCTCCCCTATGGCCACCCTCGGCCGAGGGGCCTGCCCCTGACTGTCCCGTTGGGCAAACCTGAGGCTCGGGGAGGGCAAAGGACCTGGCCAAGGCCACTCCGAAAGCCAGGGGCACAGGGAAGCCTGAGCTCACGCCCTGGGTCCCCCAGCAGGGAGCGGGGCGGCCAGCAGGGGGGCAGCTGGGGGCCTGCTCAGCTTGGCGGGGGAGGCCCAGTGGGAACCAACCTCCATCTTCCCGCCCGCCTGTGCCCACCTCTGAGCCCCGCCCTGCCTCACCCAGGGCCCTGCCCACCCAGCTGAGCCTCCCGGGGCCCAGCCCAGGCTCCTGGCCGTGGCTTCTCCCCCTCGCCCCCTACCTTAGCTCCCCGGCGTCGGGGCCACTTGGCACAGTTCCCCATGGGCCCAGGGACCATGCCGGGCCTGGAGCCCGGGGCTGGGGCTGGGCCTCTCGGAGGCTGTGGGCTCCCGCCGGCCCCAGCTGCTCCCCGGGAGTCTGGGAGCCCGGCAGGGGATTTTCCAAGGGTTTTGTGGGGAAGATCGGGGGCGGGTGGGCAGGCGGGGAGCCTGGCACGGGGGCTCGGGTCCTAATCCGGGATTAGCTCTGAGTGTCTCTGCTCGAGAGGGGGGCCGCTAGAGCACCAAGGCCCCTGGATGCTCAGCCTCCCCTCGCTCGCTCCTGAAGTTCCTCCAGACACCCCTCCCCACCCCATCCCTAATCCCTCCCCACCAGGAGGGACAGGGTGTCTTCAGAAGCAGGGCCAGGCCTGCAGGAGGAGGCCGGGCGCCTGTGTGCGGGGCAGGCTGGGCATCCCTCCGTCTGAACGGGCGCCCGGTGGTGTGAACCCTGCAGACCCTCCGCTCGCCTGGCCGCCTGCCGGACGGAGGCCTGGGAGCCCCTGCCTCTTCCTGCCAGGACCTCCCTCCTCTCCCCCCGGCTCTCACCTCGCAGCACCCGCCTGCCCGCCTGCCCTCCGCACCCCTGGACCAGCCCCACCCCCTCGCCACTGGATGAGGAGCTGACTGATGGAGCCGGCTCTGGGGCAGGGCCTGCAGGAGGTGGGGGGGGTGCTCAGGGAGGACGGGGCAGGGAGCCGGCTCTCAGGGCCTGTGGGAGGGGGGGGTGCTCAGGGAGGACGGGGCGGGGAGCTGGCTCTGGGGCAGGGCCTGCAGGAGGGGAGGTGCTCAGGGAGGACGGGGCAGGGAGCCGGCTCTGGGGCAGGGCCTGCAGGAGGAGGGGGGTCTCAGTGAGGACGGGGCGGGGAGCTGGCTCTCAGGGCCTGTGGGAGGGGGGCCTCGGTGAGGACGGGGCGGGGAGGGGCACAGGCTCCCTGTGAGTCTCTGAACCAGGACTCCGGGGCCAGCACGCCTTTCAGGGCCTCCTCCCGGCTCGGTGAGGCTGGGTCTGTCTGGCACGGGGTCCCCTGTTCGCTCAGAGTCCCCCCGTCTGGGGGTCCGCCCGCTCCCCGCCCACCTTACCTGCCCGAAGGCCGCCTGCACCTGGGCCTCCAGCTCCCGCAGGAGCAGCCGCCGCCGGGCGACCGCGGGGCTGGCGGGGGCCTGGCTGGGCCCCGCGGCGTCCTCGGAGGCCGGGGGGTCCCCCGGCAGGGGGCTGTCACCCTCCGGGCCCTGAGGAAGGGCCATGGGGACGAGGGGCGGCGGGAGGGGTCGCCAGTCCTGCGGGAGGGGGCTCAGTGGCAGCGGTGGTCCCGGCTTCTCTCCCCTGCCCCCCGCCACCGGGCAGCCGGCTGGCATCTCTGTGCCCGGGCTGCCCGATCCCACCTCCCACCTCCCCTCGCTGCCCAGCCTCTCAAACAGCCTGGCTCCAGTCCTCGCCTTCCCCACCCCTCCAGCCTCCGCTGGCCCCACCGGCCGGCTCTGGGCTCTGGGCTCCGGCTCCCGAGCCTCCTGCCAGGCCCCTGTCCGCCCTCGGCTCCGTGGTGGCCTGTCTGTCTGTCTCTCTGGCAGCCCCTCTCTCCACCCGCCCCTGCTGACACCTGCCCAGCGGCCCATGGGCCTCGGACCCCTCTCTCCTCCTCCTCCCTCTGTGCGTGGACTCCTCTCACAGTGCTCTCTCTGTCTGTCCACCTCCTGCCTCCCACCCCCGCACAGTAAGGCTCCTGGTTGTGGAAGACAGGTCCCCTGCCTCCCCCCCCCTCCGCTCCCCTCCCCTCCTGCCAGCACCTCCCGCTGAGCGCTGCTGACCTCCACCCCCTGCTGCTCAGCCAGCAGGACGGGGGTGACCGGGCAGCCCACTGCCTCTTGGGCCCTGTGTCCCCAGACCACTCGCCGCCGGCCCCTGCTCCTCCCGGAATGAGGTCAGCCGTCCTGTCCGGCCCTGCTCGGGGCCCCTCATGATTTATTCACCTGCCCCCCCCCCGCCCCCCGCCTTTGTGCGAGGGAACCAGATCCGCCGGGCCTGCCACCCGAGCCGCCGGCCTGGCCTCTCGCGCCCGCGCGCCGGCCATTCGCGTGCGGCTCTGGAGCCTCGAGGCGGCCGGGGCGCGGACCCGCTGGCTGTGGGGCCACCACACGCCCCGCTGCCCGGGGCCCTGCCCCCTCAGAGGGGGCCCACGGACCAGTCTCCAAGTGCTGGGGCTTCACGGTGGAGACGCGGGGACAGGGCTCCGTCCTTGGCGTTGCTCACCCACAGTTAGCCGGGGCTTGGGCTTGGCTGTGAGCTGGGCGTGCTGGGGGGCTGGGTCCCCAGGGTGAGCTAGGGGGCTGGGTCCCCAGGGTGAGCTAGGGGGCTGGGTCCCCAGGGTGAGCTGGGGGCTGGGACCGGCAGGGTGAGCTGGGGGCTGGATCCCCAGGGTGAGCTGGGGGCTGCGTCCCCAGAGTGAGCTGGGGGCTGGATCCCCAGGGTGAGCTGGGGGGCGGTCCGCAAGGAGGAGGGGACAGTAGTCTTGGACAGGGCACGGGGGTGGGGACCACCTCAGAGGCTGCCTCCCCGGGCTGCCCAGTCCCCTTCCACCGGGCCGGAGACACGCGTAAACTGAGGGTGCTGGGAAGGAGGCGTGGGGGCCTGGCTGTGTGTGTGTGGGCGGGGGCTGAGGAAGAAGAGAAAGGGAGAGAGAGAGAGAGAAACAACGATGAGAGAGAATCACTGATCGGCTTCTCCTGCACGCCCCCCACTGGGGATCAAGCCCGCAACCCGGGCATGTGCCCTTGGCCGGAATCGAACCTGGGACCCTTCAGTCCACAGGCCGACACACTATCCACTGAGCCACACCGGCCAGGACTGCTTGTTGTTTTAAGCAGCTGAGTGGTGAGGTGGTTAATCAGCAGCAATAGATACAGAGTCAGAACCCAGGGACGCCATCTGCCCGTCGTGTGGCAGAGGGCTGGATTTGCAGGCTCCGGAGGCAGAGGCTCTGAGTTTGCGTTTGGTGTTGGTGTTGGTCTGTGCTGTGAGTTTTAATGAGCTTGGTTTCCAGGCTTCCTGGCTGAGGTGTGAGTTCCGGAGGCCGCTCAGCAGGGGTGGAGGTCAGAGTTGGGACAAAGGCACAGCCTCTCATAGAAGTCTCCCCGTTAGTGACCTCCATTTCTGGCTGCGACCCCGTGTGGCCGGCCGCCAGCCACCCCGCGTTCCAACGACGAGTTTTCAGCACGGCTCCTTCACGGCCCCCCCCCCCCAAGCAGGGTGGCCTACGGACTGGAATGCTGGTGCCATCTAGACAGCACCTTCACGGCCCTGGCCCGTGTGGCTCAGCTGGTAGAGCGTCGTCCTGGGCACCGAAGGCCCCGGTTTGATCCCCAGTCAGGGCACATGCCCGGGTTGGTCCTCGGTGGTTGGGGTATCTATGGAGGCAACCGATCAATGTTCCCCCTCCTCCCTCTCCCTGCCTCTCTGGATGCTGAGGCCCGCCCTGGCTGACACATCAAATTAACCATCCCCTAGGAGAGGCGCTTTGTAGCTAATAAAGCCGACAGGTTTTTTTTTTCTTTCTTTTTAAAAAAAAATATATTTTATTGATTTTTTACAGAGAGGAAGGGAGAGGGATAGAGAGCTAGAAACGGTGATGAGAGAGAAACATCGACCAGTTGCCTCCTGCACGCCCCCCACTGGGGGTGTGTCCGCAATCAGTGTCCATGCTCTTGACCGGAATCGAACCTGGGACCTTTCAGTCCGCAGGCTGATGCTCTATCCACTGAGCCACACCGGTTTCGGCTGCAGACAGGTTTTTAAAGTGGCTGAGCCGCCCTAACAGGTGCAGCAGCCGTGGCCCCACCCTCGCCGACATCTCATGGACCACAGGGGCCCACACCGAGGGGCAGGGCTCCCTCCTCATCCTCTCTCTCCATTCGCATCTGCCGGGACCGTTCTGACGGTAGGAGCCCGGGCAGACAGCGGCTCCCTGACTCCGGCGGATGGGACGCGCCTGCCTGGGCCCGGGCTCCCTGTCCTGCTCCGGGCACCTCGCCCCGAACGAGCCCTGGTCCCCGGCTCGGCCTCGGGGGAGACCAGCGGGGCGCAGGGCTGCGGGGGCTGTCCTGGCGCTGAGGGGTGGCTGGCAGGCGTCCTTCAGCCCCGCGGCCCGGGGCTCTCCTCCCTCGCAGGGGGGCCCGGTCGCTGTCCGGCAGGATCTGTGGACGGAGCTGCTCCTGCTGCTCCTGCTGGTTCTCTGGTCCCGTCCCGGCCACGCACTCCCTGGTGTGGCCTCAGGAGGGCGCCAGAACCTCAGTGTCTGGTGGGGGCAGCCTGGCGTCAGCTCCTCACTGCCCAGGACCCGTGCCCGCCAGGTCCCTGGCCGGGTGGGTCCGAGGGTGTGTGGCCGGGGGAGGGTAAACACCTGCGAAGGCCGCCCCCAGCCTCTCCCACCGCTGGGCTCACACCCGGGTCGGTGTGGGACACTGGGGCCGGCCTCAGGGGGCAGGAGAGGGCCGGGATGTCCCAGGGGAGACGGAGGACCAGAGTGGTCTGGAGCCGGCCCGGGGCCTCAGACGGCTCCGTCCTCGAAGGCCCAGCCTGGGGGGGGGGGTCAGTGTCCTCCTAACTGGGCCCAGGCAGGCAGAGCAGGAAAGGACACAGGATGGCGTCACGGACTCCCCTCGTGCCGGTGTCACTGGCTTCACCCCCACAGGAAGTGAGGACAAGGAGGCTCACAGCGGGGCCAGGGCTCCTGGGAGGCAGGGGAGCTGGACTGGAACCCAGGCCGCGGCCCCGATGGCCCCGGGGAACCTCTGTGAGAGAGGCAGGACGTGGCAGGTTACAGGGACCCCGGGTTCTGGGATCCCCAGGTGCCTGAGGGGCTGGGGCTGCAGGGACCGACCGCTCTGGGTGTGCCTCCGCCTCCTCCGGACCCAGGGCCCCTCTGACGGAGCACGGGGGGGGGGGGGGCAGATGGGGAAAGAATGGGGGACAGATGGGGGAGAGATGGGAGAGACAGGCTCTGAGTGGGAGGCCCTCACAGCGCCCAGCACCCTGGGCCACGCCCCAGGCCCTCAGCAGCTCCCACACTGGATGGAGTCACCTGCCGGTGCCAGGATGCCAGGCAGAAGCTGGGCGCTGTGAGGGGTGGCAGGGCCTGGCCTTGGGGAAGGTGAAATCGGATGATCCTGGAAGTCACAGTAGTCAGAGGGGAAGCTTTCCCCCGAAATTGTATGAGGTTAGTGAAGTTTCAATTCAAAAACCAGATAAAGACAATAAAAAAATAAAATAAGCAATCAAATAAAATAAATAATAAAATAAAATAAGTGAAATAACATAAAAGGCATGCCCATTTCATTTGTGAGCCCACACTAACGCCCTAAACTACACACACAGCATTGTGTCTAATGGAACACCTGGCGGCCCAGCAGGGGCCGTTTCCGTTATCCCCAAACGGAAAGTGTATCCAGGTCACTGCCCTCCCCACAGAACCAAGGAGCAGCTGCAGGGGTGGGAGCAGCCTTTGTTACTGATTTCCGATACAAAGTCTTCTCAGCCGGCCACAGAAGGGAACATGCTGAACTTGATGCCAAAAATCGACACAAATGTTACCCACAATGCCCCTGGGTCTCCCGCCCGCCCCCACGCCCTCTCCAAGGTCACCGCAGCCGGAGCCATGGAGGGTGGGGTGTGAACACCGGCACCCCTTTCTTCACTCAGGCCCACAATGTCCCTGTAAGGCCAGCTGCTACCATTTAATAGAATTCTGGAGGTCCTGGTCAAAATGACTTAAAAATAAATAAGGAAAAGATGTGAGGGTTGGGAGGGAGGAGAGAAAATGCTCATTCCTGCAGGTGGAGTGGCCGTTTACCTAAAAGGACCGCTGGAATCACTGACTCGCTATCGGAATCCATGAGATTTCGGCCACAGTGCCGGTATAAACCCACGTATTCCTAGTATTTCTCTGCATCTCAGGTACTAACGCCCAGCTTAAAAAATAACATAGTACTCACGGCAGCTAGATACAACGAACCTAGACTATATAAGAATATGCCAGCCGGGACCGGTTTGGCTCAATGGATAGAGCATCGGCTTGGGGACTGAAGGGCCCCGGGTTTGATTCCGGTCAAGGGCATGTACCTTGGTTGCGGGCACATCCCCAGTAGGGGGTGTGCAAGAGGCAGCTGATGGATGACTCTCTCTCATCGATGTTTCTAACTCTCTATCTCTCTCCCTTCCTCTCTGTACAAAAATTAATAAAATATATATATAT